TAAACAAAACATTAAAAAATTAATTAAAAAAAACATTTAGTAAAAATAATAAAAAATACAACATTAAAAATAATGGTTAAGAAATAAAAAATAATAATTAATTCCTTATATGTACATACCAGACATATTGAAAATATTGTTATAAAATTACAACCAAAACCTTTAGGGTGGCGCTTGCGGAATTTACAATAGAAATTAAATTATTTAGTTTATCTGTTTTTAATATTTATGAATATATAACATTGTACATGCCAGGGTAATTGACTAAAATGACTCTCTGGTGCCTTGCAGTATTTTAAACATTTTGCAACATTTAAGCTGGCTCTAGTGAGCATCAAATTTTTATTTTATTGAGCTTCTAAACATGTTTCAAAAAGCTTCAAAGTTTATTTCAGTAAACTTAAAAGTTCGATTTAGTGAGCTTCGAACTAGCTTTAAAGTGCTTTAAAGCTTGATTTATGCTTAATTTAGTGAGCTTCAAAACTGGTTTTAAAAAACTTCAAAGTTTGCTCAAGTAAGCTTAAAAGCTCTATTTTATTGTTCTAGTATGTTTCAAAGCTTGCTTTAGAGGGCTTAAAAGCTTGCTTCAGAGTGTAATAAAAATATTGTTAAAATTCTAATAAACAGTGATTTGTTGAAAACTTAAAAGAACCGAATCAAAAATAATTGTAAAAATTTATTTACACATATTAAATAGGTTACATGGAATTTTTAAAAACAAATTTAATGGCCATTGGCCAAATCTTAATTTTTGACTACTTCAGTACAGTTATTTTTACGCTCTCACATTCTGGCTACATGCAACGAAAGCTCTTTAAGTGAATACAAAATTAATGTGATATTTTTGCTTAAAAGTTTGTTCTAAACTTAAAAACTATTTAAAACTTTAAGAACTTTTTCAAACAACTGATCACCAAAGTTTTATTTCGAATAGAAATGATAATTATGGAAAGATGATTGTACGTATGAATGAATTGTTTCTTGTTTTTTGCCATGGCAATGTAAAACAGTTAGAAATTGTTTTTTATTTCTTGCGTAACGTAGCTACATAATTAGCCTCTATATGTGTTTATTCTAAATTTTTTTATCCATACAAAATAAACACTTTTAGAAAGGATAAGAGTTTTCATTTTAAGTTTCGTACGAAAAGCTTTATTTTGAAAATTTTACAATTATACAGAAAAAAAAAACTTTCTCTTAAAGCTTTCGCATGTCATAAGTTTGTAAAATATACATATCTAAAAGAGCTTTCACAAGCATTAGGAGCTTAATTTTTTTAATATTTATTTGAAAGTCGGCTATTAATTAGTAAGCTTTTGCTTCTAATAAAACTATATCGAACTTTGCGGAAAAAGCTTTAAATAACTGTTTAGCTTTCGTTAGCTTTCAATGTTATTGCAGGATGAAAGATTTGTGGAGAAGCGGTCTGAGTTCTAGAGTCTATACATATGTATCACTTTGTTACTTTCGATACAAAAAATGATTTAAAAAGAAAAATATTCCTGCAAGCGCCAACACAATATACAAATCTATGTATGTATTAAATTCTTTTTTTTTTTTTTGTTTTTGTTTTCTAAGTCTACTTAAGTTTGCAAAAACTTACAAGTTTGAAAAAAAAAAGTGTAAACATGTATTCTATAGTACTTTTCAAATACGTTATAACGGTGCTAATTTTTAGCCATTCAGTAAAGTAAAAGTTATAAACATTTTCGTGAAACATATCTACACAAATGTCGTTATGTCACATGCAAGGCGCTTTTGTATTATTCCTATTTGTTTTTAGACACTTTCGTTTGCGTTTAAAATGCGCTTATATGCACATAGTTGCTAAATTATTTGTATGTATGTATTTTAAAAAATTTCTCTTAAAAGCGCGAAAAAGTCTGTTTTCAATTTTACAATAAATATTCATAATCTCCTATGCCTCGTTACAGGTATACTATACATTTAATATATATAAATTTTGATCATAAGAGGCGGTCCAAATGTCGGTGCCAATATACATACATTTACATGCGTACATATGTATGTATATAAATATTAGAGTTGTAAAAAATTTTTTTTATGTATACATATGTTTGCTAAATTTCATTAAAAATTTAATTTTCACATTTTTGGTTTATTTAAATAACTTTTAAGCTTAAAGCTTGTAAAATAGTTTCACACTCTGATTTTATCTAAATTTAATATAAATTCAGTAAATTGAACTGGTATTTCGGGTGTAGACATTTTTGAAAAATATATTGGAAAATTAATTCATACAAACTTTTAATTAACATACATACAGTTACGAACAATAAAATAGAATCAAAGTTTTGTTTTAATTTTTCATATACTTATGTTGTAAGTTTTTCGCATAATAACAAATACAATCATGTGCACTTTAAATAAGAGGAACTGACAATTTTGTTGAGTTTTACAGTTAACTGTAATTTGAAAAGTGTAAATAGCGTGCCACGTGCTTAATGACAAAATAATAGAATCAATCTCGAAATATTTTCCCAAATCGACAATTTTGAATTTAAAAAGCCTATTAAGTAGTTATATTAACTTAATTAGATCTGTGGAATGAATATTTGCATTAATCACTTATTTCATTGCGTAAAAAAATGGGTCTAGCCAAACATTGGTCAAAGGTAAGAGTATGCAACAAAAATTTGCAAGGAAAAGGTCATATGCAAAAGGAAATTGCAAACATATTGTTTCCAACAAAAATTTCTGTTTAATGCCTTAAAATCTTCGAAAATACATATGTGAGAAAAAAAAAGAGACCGACCGAAGAAAAAAACTGCGGAAATCGATCAAAATATCGCAAGATTTTCGAAGCAGGATCCGTTTAAGTCCGTTGCAGCCATGCAACAAGAATTGGGTGCACATATTTCTGCAGGAACGACAAGAAGACGACTTGTAGAAAAAAACCTCTTTGGCAGGTTGTGCTGAAAGGTTCCAATACTGAGCAAACGGCATAGATACAATCATGTTCAGTTTGCAAAAACGAAACATTAATTGGGATGGAGCTAAAATTAAAAAAAAAAATATATCGTTCGACATCCTGTGGTCTGATTAATGCAAAAATTGCAAAATTAATATAATGGAAAATCATGGTTGAACGAGGGTTCAACGCCCAAAAACGCTACACGACTAAGTCTTTCAAACCCCTTGTCGGTAATATAATGGTTTGAGGTTGTTTCTCATGGTATTGTGTCGGACCTTTTTCTGGATAAAAGAAAAAATGGACCACCATCAGTAAAACTTTAGATGACATCATACTACCATATGCTAAATGGAATTTGCTTTTAATTTGGCAATTCCTAGAAGACAGTGACCCGAAACATACTGCGGGTCGTACAAAAAATAGTTTTCGGAACATGATGTTGATTTTATGGCTTCGCCAGCACAACCACCAGATCTGAATACAATAGCAGGTTCTACATTACCGGAATTGACAGGATATTATTCGGCCAAGGACTGTTCGGAGATCTAAACCCATTTAAATCGGTAATACAATCGAAAATGTATGGAAGAACGTTAAGTAAAAGATTGGCGTGTAAAATAGGGCGGAACTCTAAGAAAGTTCCAAAGGTCGGGTTCAGTTCAGCCTAGTTCGGTCTATACCTACAAGATATGCATCTTTATTAGACAGTAAAGATGCTATAAAATTTCTAGATAAGTTATCTTAAGAAATATTATGTTTTTAGTTAGATATTAAGACTGTATTTTTTTTGTTGATTCATTTTTTTGCTTTTGCGTTTTTGTTGTATATGCGTAAGCGTTTTTTATGTTTGCTTATTTAAAGAATACATTTTTTTTTCTTTTTTTCCGTTCCCACGACAGTCGGGTCTACGAAAACCGGAACGGACCCGGATTTTTATCCGGCCAAGGACTGTCAACTCGGCAGAATTTCTGCCGTTACAACAACAACAACTGTATTTCTTTTTTTTTGATCCTCAGAATTTTTGAAATTTGTATTTTACCTTTGTTTTTGCAATATTTATGAATTTTTTTTTTCAATATCTTTACTGCTGCCAATAACACTTGACATGTAGTGAATAATAAAAATATATATTAGTTGAATTTAAATCAAATTAAATTTTTTTTAGAATAGAAAATTAGAACTATAGTTGATGGTATTTTAATATCCGTAACTGTATGTATGTACTATGTAAGATCGAAAAATCAAAACAAAAGAAATAATAATAATAAAAGAAAATTTCGTGAGGCGTTCGACAAAAGCACAGCTTTTTATTAATTTTTCTTTAATGGCTGATTTACATAGCATTTTTCTCGTTTTGCTGGAAACTTAATACTTTAATATCGAAGCAACGCAAACATAGCGTGAAAAGGACGCTTTATTTTTCGTTCTTCTATCTGATATTCAATATTTAATACTTTGTTTTTATCATTTTAACAGGTTTGGAATATACATTGTACATAAATATTTCCAAACCTGTTGCATAATAAAAACCACAGAATAAATAAGTAATGTAAGTGGCGTCTGCTGCTCGGAAAACATAAAAAGACGAGAGTTTCTCAACATTTTGCTTTGCTTTGCCATTTATATGAACGAACTCATACCAAATCATACATCGAACTTGATATAAAGCCTGGAGCAAAATTTATCAAAACATATCTGTATCAAAGCCTATCTGTCAATGTGAAAGCCTGATGCAAAACGTGTCAAAACTTATCTATGAATCAGCCATGACAGACTTTCCGCCGTTATGTGACGGTATGTTAAGGCAATCGTTTCAATGAAACCGTTAATGCAATAAATTTTTACAGTTAGCTCTTACTCGCGCTTTGAGCTAATAAAGAACTAAAGTATGCTCTTCTTTTGGAAGACTATGAAATGCTCAATTTTCTTTGTTTTTTACTAAAATTTCATTTGAAGTGGAACGTTAAAAACGTACGAAAGCCGCCGTGTTTCTATAGTACGTTAAAGAACTGTAAATGAATTTTACGCCAACATAATTAAAAGCACTAAATATTTTGAAATTTTTCGTTTTGTACTTTAGCATTTTAAAGTGTTGTAGTTTTGCTGCTCTTACACTTACGAATGTATTCTCTCTACATATGTATAACTTTACATAAAATAGTTACAGACTTAATACGACCAATACATTATGCATATATATACAAATATACATTACAACATTTAACAAACAATTGAATTGTTCAAACCACGAACAAAATAATAGAATTAATAAAAAATATAGTGATTGAGTTTATAGGTTAACAGCACGGTTTTATCGAAAATTATAAACTTTTTGAAAAAGTGTGTAATATTAACACTTTAGGTGAGTGAAAATCGTGGCAAATTTCACTCTTGCGGCACTTAGGGCGATTGAAGAGAAAGCTTCATTGGCTATGGGCTCTATGTGCATGTATTTTTAGAGAATGTGTATTGTTGTTGTTGCAGTTGCACAGATTCGAAAACATTTGATATGAGCTATCTAATTTATTGATAGTTGTTGTTATGGGCATTTTCTAAAACTTCCGAACTATTTCTTTTTTTTGTACTTTTATCATTTTGCTTTCGGACGTAAACAAAAAACAGCTGATGTGACAGAAGCAGACTACAAAGTTTAGAACTAGGGCATTTTTTTTAGCTGTGTTATTCGTAGATTAAAGTATTTTCACAACACTGATACATTTCTTTCAAATCTCAATAAACTACACACCATAACAATACACATTTGTATCTAAGCTCACAAGTCTTTTTACCGGCAATTCTGCAACAACAACAACATACATGAATTACGTTGATACAACTCTATAGCTTACCAACTTGTTCCAATAACAGTCCAACAACAACACTGCTTGGAATCACACTTTCTGGTGAATGGGCTTCGTCAGCAAACGAACGTGGACTGGATGCCGATGGCACTGCACTGGCTAATTCTAAGATTTGTTTATTCTTAGTGTTGTTGTTTTTTGTTTTGATATTAATATCATTGTTAGTAGCCAACTCCACTTCCTCTTCATGCGAATTCTACAAATTCCCCAATAACTCATTCGCTTCAGCAATTATTGATTCAGCATCGGTGACGGTGTGATTAACGAAGACATCGGCGGATAGCCCACAACTCTCATCAATGAGCGCATCATTATTGCCTGTGAGGCCAGTTAGCGCAGCGCTAAGGCCTTCACTGGGTGCACCAGCATCGGTGAGGCTGCTCGTGTTTGCGCCACCGCTGATGAGACTATCGATAGTGTTGCCGTTGCTGAGAAATTCGCGCGTAAACTCTATTGGGCTGTAACGGAAACGTGGTGTCGCCGTTGGTGTTGTTGGCATGGAACGTGACATGTCGTAATTGCTGTTGCAACCACCACCACCGCCACTATTTCCAAATGAGCCGCCACCATTGTTGCCATACTTGAATACAGTTGTTGTGAAAGTACCACCCATGATACTACTAGAAGTTGTGAGCGAAGGTGAGAGATTCACTTCATCTTCAAACCGCCGTCTTCCGCCATAGAAGTGTGTTGCAAATGGACTCTGTTGTGGCAGCGGCGTGGATGGTACCGAACGCGACGTGGTATTGCCTGTGCAACCCAATAAGTTATTGCCGTTTCCACCCCCACCAACACCCGATATTAGCGCAGCGCTACCGAATGCCGTACAAGCGCTGCTGCTATAACCCGATGAAGAGCCTGCCGAAGAACAAGTCGTTGTTGTGGCGTTACCTTGAAAATTGTTCGGGCATTTCATGCGTAAAAAATTGGTATTGAACATTTCCTCGAGGTTATCCAACATCGCGTCCGGATCGTTGGCCAATAAGGCAGCTTCGTCGACCAGTATTTTGGCGGACAATGTTTGCGTCCCATGCTTCCCGTTTAAGCCACCACCACTATTTTGACTACAGCTATTCTCGGAGAAGAACGTCGTTGAGTCAGCGAATTCCTGTGGCACCGGTGTTTGTGCAACTGATGTACACGCCGAATAGGGAGCCGCTTGAAAACTCCGATTGAAGGCCGGTGAATGTGTGCGTTGCAACTGTGATAGTGGTACCGATTGTGAACGCTGCATCTCATTGGGTGCAGTCGTAAGGTCATTCAGTGTTAACTCATCATAAACCATGCTTCTGTCCACTGACGCGCTAAACATATCCAAATCCAATGAGTTTTGATCGGCGCCCAATAGATCAGCTGCACTTACGTCCGCGTTATTGTTCATCTGATTATACACCACACCGCTTGCAGCACGATTGTTCGGTTGTTGGCTCATCTCACTGCCGAAAAATGGTGTGCCAAATAATTGTTGCTGCTGTTGTTGTTGCTGTTGCAAAACAGATGGACTTGGTGGCGCCGATGCTGAGGTGATCGGTAAGAGTGAGTTATTACCACCGATTGTGCCGAGATTGGCATAGCTCCGACGTCGACGACTAGCACCAATCATCGGATCACTGCAATCGTGCTCCAATGACAGCTGTTTTCCCAGTGCAAATGCTGCTTTCGGACGTACACGATGGGCGCTCTGACCGGGGCTGACGAAGTACGAACCACCGCCATTGTCGGCGGCCGAGTTTAGCGCGTTTCCTGCATTCAGCGATATACTGCTGCCATTCAATTTTGTATTGTTAACGTTATTGCCAGGGTTTTTATTGTTCCGGTTTCCCGTGTTAGTGTTGGTATTGGTATTGGGCGATATTGGAAAGAATATGCAATTTTTGCGTGTCGCAATAACTTCAGCCGCATTTAGCGCGGTGCCAGTCAAGCTGATTTTACGTTTATTCAAGTTAGGATTGTTGTTAGCGTTGTTTGCTGCAAGCATTAGTTGCGCATTTTCTTGTCGAACTTGTGTATGAACTTGTTGTTGCTGATGCTTCTGTGACATGAAAGTGAGAGACGCTGAGGCCGATCCAACAGCCATTGTTGTTGTGGGACTTGCTTTGGACAGCACAGCGCCGGTTGCGGTTTGCTTTTTGGTACCAGCAGCGGCTGTGAAGCCGCTATTTGACACTTGTGATGGATAACTACAGTTATCCATGGCATTTAATTGTACGCTCAGTTGTCTGCTGATAGTTTGTGGCGAATTTTTCGTTGCCATTGGCTTTGCACGCGCTCTTGACGTCGTTGGTGTTGACGTTTTCGTTATTGGCATTGTTGTTGTTGCTGCCTGTGTCGTGACTGTTGGATGCCTATTTGATTTTACAGCATCTAAGGAATTCAGTTTTTCCTCAGCGTCTCTCGTCTGAAAATATTGAAGCAATTCGGTATCTTGGTCCTCGGGCTCTTCCTCCACCTCGCCAGCTACAAAGTAATCGTCTAATTCGTGTTTGTCCATGTTACATATACTAATGACACGTTCGCGTGGTAAGCCCAAATTAGCCGACAGATCACCTGCATCCGGATCGGCCAAATTATTGGCAGCATTTGCCGTGGCTTCAGCTGCCAAAGCGGCCATAATTTGTTGGCGTTTAGCGCGCATTTGTAGCATGTTGCGCGACAAAACCTTTGGGGAAGCTGCAGTGAGCGATTGGGAATTATTGCCACTGCTGTCCGCACCTAATAGCGAGCTCGACGGACTGACGGAGATGTTGCTGCCAATTTGTGCTGGTGGTCCCATCAAATCGCTGGATGTGGAGCCTGTGTCGTGATTGCCTGTTAAGGGTTGAGTTGATGACACGCCAGACGTAGCAATAACTGAGGTGGCAACAGCTGATAACACTGTTGAGGAGGATCCCACCTCTTTAGGAGCTGGAGTTGTTGTAATGATAGGCACAGCATTATTACTTGTTGTAGAAGTAGGTGAATTAGCCCAAAACCCTTTGGTTTGTTGTGCTTTTCGTACCTTTTTACAAAATATATTCGTATTATACTCATCAAAGAATTCTTCCTCTTTAATGACTGTGTTCGGCTCTTGTGTTCCACCTGGTGACATTGCAGAAGATTCTGCCGCACCAAGTTCAATGATTTTTGGTGTTAGATTCTTTACGGCTGTTGTGTTAGGTGGTACCCCTGCCAAGGCAGTGCGTAGTGGTTGGCGTTGTTGTGGTGTTTGAGGCTGTGTATGAGCTACTCCAAAGGCACTAGTGGCTGGTGGTGCACGTGCCAACACTGTACGCTGCTCAGTTGCCAAATCCATAGGTAACATTTGCTGTTGTTGTTGCTGTTGCAAAAAGCCATCTGTAACTGTTGCCATTTGTGGAATTTGTGTCGCGGAAGCTGGAATGTGCTGCACTCGTTGCATTGTCGGCGACTCCAATACTTCCTGTTTTATTTGTATGAATTCGCTCATTACAGGCGGCTTAACATCAATTGCTGCTGTATCCGCGGCAGACAAAGTCGTTTGTGGCTGCGCCTGCGCAGTAGTCTGGCTGCAACTGGATTCTGACGATGACGATCCTTTGCGTTTTTTCTTTCGTCTTTTCTTCAGAGGACCCATATCCTAAAATTTAATTGCATATTATTAAGCATAATAAATTAATAAAATCCATTATATTTGAACTTACCACCATTAATCGTTTCTCTTTCGGCTCTCGTGGTGTGTATTTTTTATGTGTAGTACTGCTTCCAGAGCGTGCATTTGATGTGGACATTTCGTTTCCGGCGGTTACAGTTTTTATATGGGTTGCTAGCTCCCGTGCGCTATCCACTTTCATATTTAACATGCCTTCTGCCCAACTGCGTATGATTTGCCATGTTTCCGTATCACCAATAGACGCAGTGGCATCTCCACATAAAGTATTTCTGCCATCACCAATCAGGGACGACTCATTGGCCGTAGTGGTATCAAGTAGTGGGAGTTGAGGTGCCTCCAATTTGGTGGTTTTACGCATAGCTGCATAGCAGTAACGAGAATGACCACGAGTACCTAAACGACGTGGCCGTATGCCGGGGAACACTTGTTTCATTACCTTACCAAAATCTGCTGTGGAAAGCGGCTTAATGTCAAGACGTTCGCAATAAGCTCTGCGAAAGAAAACAATATTTATAGCTTGTGATTCCAGAATAAATTACATCCTCACATGTAATCATTATATACATCTTGCTTTGGTATGGACACTTTGGGATCATGTTCTAGGTGCGAGCGCACCCAGTTAATTGTGTGATTTATCTCAGACCGTGAACCTAATGGATTTTGGGGATGCCGCAGGGGATCTGAAAATCAGTACGTTAAATTAAGAAGATAATTCATTATTATATATAATACCTGATTCTGGCGCTTCTCCTGGTAAACGCAAATAAAGCAGTAGTTTTTCCACTGGCTTCAAAGTTGAAACACGGTCAACGATTTGTTGTATTTGTTGTTTTGCTAATTCACTGTAAATAAAAGGAGATATTTAGTTGGTTCACAAAAAAGTGCATTGAAACTCACCTTACGCCCGACTCTACCATTTCCTGTACGCGCCGTAAGCGGTCATCATCCGGCATCCTCACTCCAATGCCAGTCAAACGTCCATGCACTGCCGGCACGCTGGCGCTGACGCTACTATTTGGTGCTGCACTTAAAGCGCTTAAAACATTCTCTGTTATAGTGCTGCTAATAGCTCCTGCCACTGTTGCAGTTCCTCCTGTACCACCACCGCTATTGCTATTACTACTAGTACTAGACATTGGAACGTCGGTTACAAGTTGTCGTGTAGTTTGCTCTTGACTTGTTAAACTACCTGCGTTGCTCCCTCCACTGCCAATTGCACCGGGTGAATGAACAGCGTTAGACTGACTATTCATTGCAGTCATAATTTTATTCAACTCTAATTGTTGTTGCAAATTTAAATGCGGTGTTAAATGTTCCAATTGTTGTGTTACTGCAAATGGATTTTGCGTTAACACTGATGTCGCCGCACCTGACAGTAATGGTGGTGGCACAAAGCCACTTTGTACCGGTATACTGGGTGAAGCGGCAGCTGGCGCAGTTAGAACTGTATTTGGTGTATGCGTTGGCGAAGGTTGATGTTGTACAAGTTGCGATGGGTGTTGGGTATGCTGGTGCGCGAGACTGTGTGAGAAATTGGTTGCTTCTATTGTAGACTGTTGGATTGGTAATGGAGGTGGCTGAAAGCGTGCACTGGTGTATGGTGCTATGCCATCAGGATGCGCTAGATGTCCCAGCGAAGCAGCAACACTTGCCCCGAAAATACTGCTATGAGCTGGCATTAGCGCTACTGGATCATATAATCGTTGTTGTTGATGTAGGAGTTGGGATCCAGGTAATACATTAGTATTAAGTGTTTTTTGTTGTTGTGCAGCAATAGCAGCTGCAGCTGTAACCGTTGCTTTCGTCCACTGCGTTCCATTATGACCAGCATTCTTGTCGGTCATGTCCACAAAAATTTATTTGTGTGTTGTTTCGCAGATTGGCGCGTTTGCTGCTGCCACGATATACAGCTTTCGCGACAAATAAAATGACGTCGCCGTTTTGACTTAAGTCGATAAAAATGTGTGAAATATAACTCCGTTTAATTTAACTAAAATTACAATAACAAATAAATATCATCGTTTGACCTTCGATGGCCGGTACAATTCATAAACGACTGCGTCGTACGTTGACAATACTACTGAGGGCGCAGAAGTTTGCTCAGAGGCGCTAACACTCAGTTCGGAACTGATAAGACAGAGTCGACCGACCTCCACCTCTGTGCGCTACCCGATTCCGCACAAACACAGCAATGTGCACACACACAGGTACACCTTTGCGAAAGGTGTACTGCGGCTGCTGCTATAACTCGATCACTAAGCTTTTACTAAAACACCCCCTTCCCCTGAGAGTATTTTTAAAGTTCAATACACAAATATTTATTGTAGCCACAATATTGCCTTATGAAATACGCTGTTTACGAAACTGCGAATGTCGGTGATGATGATAATAATTGCTTCGATACGAAAAAACGATAATTAAACATTTCTTGTGTCAAATAGCACTTCCTAGACGTCACTAGTACTTTGCTATTATGGATTTGCACTTTAATTTTATTAGAGCAAAATTATTTTTGCACAATCAATTATTTCTCTTTGCACTTGTTGCGCTTTGGCAAATAACAGAACTGATTTTTAAGTTTTACAGCAATTCGAATAAGAAAACTACATTTTTTTACATTTTCCAACATGAAAAATAATAACTTTTATCTGCGCTCTAAAACGCGTGAGTAGTGTTGCCAGATTAATGATTTGCATATTATATCGTACGTTGGCAGTAGTGATGCGGAATAATATGGAATCGAATCACCAGATTTACAAATAATTTCAATATGATTAATTTATTATTAGGCTGGAAGGAAGACAATTTCATCATTAATAAAAAAAAAAATATAATAAAAAACACATTACATAATAATTAAAAGTAACTTTCAATAACAATTTCACCATTAATCATTCATCATTAATAAAAATAAAAAAAATAAAATAAAAAACACATTACATAATAGAAGTAACTTTCAATAATAATTATTATAAATTTCAATGAGCTGATATGATATGCTATATAATACTTAATTTATCAATTTGCGGATTTAACATTTTTTAGTTTAAAGCATATATTTTTAGCAAAAATTAAAAAAATATATATACATACATATATAATATAAATTTTATTCTTTATATATAATTTTACAACACATAAAAAATTAAGCCAACCAAATAAAACAAATCATTCACTCTTGAACACTATTTCCAGTTTGTTTATTGAAAAATCAATTTTTTCTTTTTAAAATTATATTTTAATGTGTTTGAAACTTCTATAAGGAAGTACATAAGTAAGATATAATTAGCTGCAATATGCATATTACAGGCAGATGAATGTATTCTAGTAGTATATTAAATATTTAAGGAAAAACCAAAAGAAAAATTTCAAAGCAATTTCTACCTAATTATTTTGCTTTCTTACATTTTATTGTTGCTTAGTTTTGTGCATAATTCATACAAAAATATTCAAGCAAGCTTACAATCTCTTAAGAACTACTTAGTTACAACATTTGCATTTTTTTCATTTAATTCATCATTCAGTATCAAAGTATTCAGATATTTGCTTTGCTTATGTTTATGTATTCGTTATAGTTTGAGAAAATTTCAACTAAATACTAAATTTTATTGCAATTGTAATTATAATAATATTAGAAATGTCATGGTTCAGTGCTTGCACCACAATCATAATGGAAGTTGAGCTCTATTCAGTCTCAAACGTCTAACTGTTATTGGAGTGTAGAAGTATATATTTTTCTATTTTCCTCATACATTTTTTTTTTTTTTGTTTAAATATTTGTTCATTGAAACATTAGCGTAAATTTAGGTGAATATTGAATTCAAAATAAAAATTCAAACAGTTATTCAGATAGGAGCAAAAGTTCACTCATTGTACTAGTATCGTTTAATATTTTTATTATTACTTTTTTTTTGTAATTTAATTTACGGTAGAAATTATTTTGTAAAATGCATTTAAACAGTAGGTATAAAAAATTAAACAAAAATAACAAAATTTATATAAAAAAAATATGCCCTAAATTTAGCAGTAGCAACAGCAGCATCGGTGGCGGCAGCGTGGCTTCAAGCTTTTGATTTCTTGCTTAGAGTTGCAACGAAACTCTGGTATATAGTAAGTAAATGCAATCTTCGCTTTCCCTTTTCCACTGCCAATCCATTACTAATATGATTTTACATATTTTAATATGCAACATCTTACAAATGTTTTTACCCATTTAACATGTGTGAGTGTGTGTGTTTAACTGTGCAGGAAGCATACTCGACAACATTACTAGGGGCTCTTCAGTTAGAAAATTTTGACATTTTATTGCGCATATCTTAATGAGCTTGTTAGTTTCGAAAAGTTTCTAATTTAAATTTTTATTGTTTATGTTATTGGTGGACGTTGTTGATTTGGCATTCGCTATGGAATGTTTATTTTACCTTTGACTTAACAGGACTAGGGCTTTGATCAGCCTCAGGCAGATCACTTTCTTTCTTCTTTTTCGCCTTCTCCTTTACTGCTTTTGATTTCTTCGAATGTTGCTGTTGCTGTATTAGTTTAGCCTCTCGTTGTGCTTCGCGAGTAGCACGTAGCTCTTCAGTGGTAAAGGAATATATTAAATAACCCTGCAACACCATTAAGCCAATAAGTGCTACATTTGCGCGCTTCGTATACTCCACGGGAATACCGTAATACAGCACCAGCACGGCAATAACCATTGTGGTGAAGCGTACGAAAACAAACGACGAATTGTTAAAGAAGCGGACGCTAACGAATTTCTCCTCCCGATCGAAAACACCAATTAGTTGGATTATATGCGAAACAATTTCGCCAAGATAATGCAATGTCAACAAAACCAAAGCAATGCGGTGGAAGCTAAATGTATACGCCAAGCAGATGGCCGAGAAACCGGATATGGAATGAATTATTATTGCTTGTTGATCCTCTTTTTTAACCTTTTGGAAATAAAGTTCGGGCAGCATGTGCAGATAGTAAGCCATTTGAATAATAAAGAACAGTTTATGCAGAAAAGTCATTGGATGATCGGGATATTGGTTCCATAGCAGCGCAAACCGGTTCATATATCCCTCACGCGATATAATATTTGCACCCATCAGAAACGAGAACACATAGAAGACAATTAGTTGGCCAGATTCATTGAAGCGCGTCAATTTGAATTTGGAAAGATGTAGCCGCTTCGATATTTTGTCTAATACATATTCCTGAATGATGGCGTGCATAATGATGCATGTTAATGTATAAAAGAAGATAGCACAGTAATCCTTAATGCCCGCCACGTAGCTAAATGGCTTACCCTGAGGATTTTCCCGACTAGGCTCCTCACCAGACACATTGTGATGCAGTGAAATAAACGCGCTGGCAAAAGGTGATGTAGATTCGTCCATCAATGCTACAACGAATACCATTGCCACGCAGGAAATAATGTCCGCGTGATTTTGTATAACGAATTCATGACTTAAAATTGGTGGATTTTTGCTGCTGGTCTTACGTCCCATGCCAGGTTTTATCGCCATGATGAAACCACTTATTAAATGCTTATCGTTGCACCGCACAAAATATTTTGATGAATTTACCAAAACGTTACTCAGTTGCTGATGTGGCTGCGGCCGCTGCTACTCAACAATATTTGACGTAAACTATCGCTGACGTTGACGCTGTCTTCGTTTTCTACGCAACATTGACGTTTCGAATTGTCAATTTCTCAGTTGCTATCACTTCTTGTTTTTGTATTGTTAATCCCGAAACCGGAAAAGGTGTTACCATACTAATGAGGGATTATTAATAATACAAAAAGCTAATTCTTAGACGTTATTTCTAATTCATTCTTATATAGATTAAAAGCTCTTCGTTTGAAAAGACATTAGAAGAAACAGGCAAGCAAGCGACTACCTACTTATCCAAAAGGGTTAAGATAGCCGAAATAACATAAAATGACTGGATATAATACAAACTTCCATAAAATAGCACCGGTTTTTTGCTACGGATATCTAACTTCACTGAAAGCTATTCACAGTTGGAGCTATGAATACCTCAACTGATTCCCTCGCGGTTAATGGCGCCTTTGAAAAAAAAAAAAACAAACATAACAGAAGAGTTCGATGTGTCCCCACAATCTAGAGTAAATCTCGGGCAACTTCAAATCCAAATATATAATGCAACATTTATATACGTAAATATGTATATTTTAAGTTATAACTTTTTATTCTTTGCTTCATACTCTTGAATTGTAATTTAAACGAATTAAATTCAGTTAAATTACAAAAATACGAATGGGCATAGGAATATAGTATTGATAATTAATAAAAAGGCGTACGTACTTACATATTACGTTTTGCGTACTTGAATATACATATAATGTGCAATGGTACAAAAAAGTTCGCGTACACTCAGAGTAACGACAAAAACTTGTTAAGGATTTCAAACACTGAAATAAAAATAGTTACCCAAAGCTAAAGTTCCTTTTGTTTCAATAAACAGCTGGCACAACTCTTCAATTTAAACTTAAACTTTCGAATATTTTATTTTTAAATCGCTCACGCTTTCGCATCAACGACTTCGAATTGTAGCTCGAATTGTTGATCCACACCAATAAGACAGTCTGAGATAAGGTACAGCGTGAGAACCACGCGTCCACGACGTGGCGTCGATTGGAAGCAAATGCGATTGGTGGCATGATGACCACGCATACTAACACGCTTCATGGCGAGCAACTCGCTATTGGCTTGAGAGCCGAGCGTCAAGAACCAAGCTTCACTCTTGCCCTTGGGATATTTTGGACAGTGTATAGCAATGGGATTCCCATGTTGTGAACCCAATTTACGTACATTGCAGTTCATACGTATCATTTTTATAGAGAGCACATAGTCCTGTGGAAGAAGAAATGTGAAGTGTTAAAAATATAATTTATAAACAAATAGGGAAGGCCTAAGTTCGGGTATAACCGAACATTTCATACTCCTACAACTTGGATTAGTAGTACCATTAGGTACATGAGGCTTATTACCGTTCCTACGACAGTCGGTTCTATGTACCTGGAACGGACTCGGATATTTATCCAGAAAAGGACTGTCAACTCGGCAAAATTCTGCCGCTACAAAAACAACAACAAGACTTGTTAGTGACTATAAATGGGGTCTAGGTCAAGTTTTCAGCGATTTTATTCATTCTAACCATGAAGATGCACCGTTATTAGAAAAACAAACTCTCTCAATTTTGTTAAGATAACTCACTTGTTGGTTGATATATGGGGTATAAAGTCACCCGAAACTTCGAAAATGTTTACATTAGGTATAAAGGGGCTAACCATTTTTGATACACAGTGATCAGGAGAGAATTTATCCAAATTTCAATTATTTACTTCTCACCATGACCGCAGCTCTTTTATACAATCTAGGGTGTAAAATTTAATGTCTCTGGCATATATAGTTATTGATATAGTATATAGTACTTTTAAAAGTTTCTACAGTACCGTTATATAAGGAGTGGGGGGTATTAGCATTCGACTTCATACATTTTCACACTGTCGGTAGAACTTATAATATTCGCGTTAGGCGAATTTAGTTGTTGTAGCTTTAATGGTATATGAGATATTTACTTTTTGCCGGCAAGTGCCCCTTGCCATTGTCATCACCTGTGCCGAATTATAGTTGTATGTTGATAATAATTTAGTACTAAGTTATGTTACTTTATACGGTTTCGGTTAATGTCGTTTTATGGGCGTGGCACTGGTCCGACTACTGGAAATATCTCAATT